GAAGGGCTCTACTACAGGGAGAAGAAAAAAGGGAGAATAGCGTTAGATCGAAGCAAACTGGCGTTAGGTGGGTCGTTCTAGCGTGTAATCGACTGATTAAGGACGCGCGCCCAACGAAATTAAGCGAGAAGTGTCTCAGGTGACGTGCTAAAAATAATCGCCGCGCTATACAGTATAGTAGTAGTGTCCCACTTACGACTATAATCGTACTTCGGCCCCCTTCGTGGAATGCGCGAGGAGAAACATCCAAAATCGCTCGCAGGTATCTGTGTGTTGTGTATATGTGTGTGTGTATATATATACATCCACGGAGAAATCGGAACGCGTTTGTTCGACGCGTTATCGAGTGCATGATCTCGTGTGATTCCCGCTTCGTCACGTAGGAAAATACATGTTGCATTCGAGTAAATGGAACTTGTTACTTGTTTCGCGTATTTTGAAAGTTTACATATCTGGAAATCTATCCCAAATTCATCATAAGCATCAGACTTACTCGAAACACATTCTAAATCCTAATAAATTTGGAATGAAGAATATTGAATTAAGGCAAAAATTCGGTTTGTTTACTGCATAGAGTCTAATAAAATTTTTCTCTGATAAAGTTACATAATATTCTCGTAAAACAATAAATGAATTCCTTTTTTTGATACATGACAAAAAATTTGTGATGAATATATTTGAAGAAAATATTCAAGAAAATATTCTTTGTTGTGGAGATAACCATTATTCAAGAGAAAAAATCGAACTAAACAATCGCTTTTCTTAGCAGAATAATATTTTTCTGCATGTTGCTACATAAGGAGAATTATATGGTAAAAATTACTACAGAATTTTGCCACCGAGAAACACATCGATATATTCTGTCTTAATTAATTATCCTTTCGTTTTGCACAAGGAAAAATGCAGGTGTATCGATAAAATTGATCGACAATGCTATAATTAGAATCTTCTTGATATTTTGTACGTAAAGTGTACAGATAAATCATGTTTATTTGTTAACATATTCGCTACTTATATTAAATTAATACGAAAATTGAAATAAATAAGTTAGGACATATGAAATATGTTCAATTTAATACGTGCGGACTTCAGTTTTTGGAACATAAATAACACATACGAAAACAGATCTTATTCAGGATCGGTCAAAACGCTGTAATTTCAATAAATCTCGTCGATTCAACAGCAACATTATTGTAACTAATACATGATACATTGTTTTAATACATTGTTCTCGAGTATATTAGTTTCAGTGATATCCCTGTATTGAATCAAGAAGATTTATTCCAGGCACGACGCTGTTGGCCAGTTCTATCGATTCAACATTTCTTCCCGTGTATAGCATTCTGTCCGTTGTTAAACCTACAGATCGAAACCGGCACACGCATACTTGCGGCGAATTAAACTTCCAATGTCGCAGACAGGTTAACGAAGTAGTACTACTTCAACCACTCGCTGTACCTTCGCTCGTCAAACGTAAAGCTCGCGTGTGTCGGCCACATCGGGTCTCCGCCGACCCGGAATCTCGATCAATCAGACTCGAGGCTTCACTCGAGAACCGTCGTTGAGTTTTGATCCTATCTGCAATTTATTTTCCCGATCGACCAGTCTCTAATCCTTTTTCTTTCACATCCCGTACTATTGCCAAAAGACGCGATTCATTCGATGAAGATTGGGCATTGCCCACGTGATGTCTCAATTGAGAATTACGCGGCATAATCGCCACATAAGATAACACGCGGCGTCGTTTCGGTAACTCGCTTGTAATCCGTAGAATTGTACGTTTATCGGCCGGCTGATGCAAAGAAAGAAAAGAGTTGTAGCAATAATATTTGAGCAACACAAGTCCGCGCGATACACTCTCGATTTATTTATAAGTGTAATCGCGAAGCCTAGTTTCGACAATCGCACGCATGACATTATCAGAGAGAAGGAGGAACAGTGAAACCGTACGAATTTATCGCGAATCATCGCGTGTGGTTCACACCATTTATCCGCTCGCTATACGGGGTGACAAGGGTCGGTGTTTCGTTATTTTTGACTAAAAATATGTTATCGTTATTATGAACACACACCCGCGCGCACGTTAAATATACTCGAGTTCCACACAAGCGATAATCGCGCGTTTGTTAATGCAACAATCTGTCGTGTCGAGGCTTTATCAATCCTCTAGAATCCTGACCTGAGTACTCTCCTATATATATACAAGATACAATATATATAACATATATTGTATATAGTATTATATAGTTATATAATATTATATTTTATATATATATATATATATATATATATAATATTACGTATTATATATTATTTATAATATTATTTATAATATTATAAATAATTATTTATAATATTATAATTATATATATATATAATATTACGTATTATATATTATTTATAATATTATAAATAATATTATATATAATATTTTATATATATCACTAAAAATATATAAAAATACATTGATCTTATCTATCTCGTTTACAGAGAGTTTTTAACGCAACAGTTCACTTATCTCGAAAAAAAGAAATTTTTATCAATTTTTTTCTCATTTCTCGTGATAAAATTGTTTAATTTTTTCCTGCTGAAACCACCTGTCAAATCAAACTGATAAAATGCTGTTTACAAATAATTTGCAAAACAAAAATCAAACTCAAAGAGTTAAATCGTAGAGGCCGAGAATAAGCTTACAACTCGCAACGATCGATAGTTCACTCGGGAGCGGGTCTTTTTATTGCGTCTCTCGCATTGTAAGTCTTTTACGTGCAAGAGACGGTATTTGGGTCTCTAATTAGCGGTTCGCGATTGTCGAAACTGCAAAGTTACCGTAAATTAGTTATTCTAACTGAAGTTATATACTCCGTAACCAGGTTGTTGGAGCAAAAACCGTCTCGAAGTCTGCCGGTCGCTCTGCCGGAGCGAGATGAAGAAGCTCGTGCCACTTTTTGGAGGATATTCCACTTGAAGTGCTGTTCCGCATTCTTCGCATGGCATCGTCTCATTTAGATGTCAGGTGTTATACAATTTGTGCGAAATATTAATCACGCAGGGAGAAAACGAGCATATTTTAAATGGAATTTTTAAATGTCTAAATAATCTCTTTTCTTCCGAGTCTTTGAGGTCAGTTTTATTGTCACGACGCAATTTCACCACATTCATCTATATATGTGGTTTGCTACATATGTGGAAGAAAAAAAATATATATTATAGTTTTTCTTCATAAAAATTTTTCCTAATTTTCCAGTAGTGCAGGGATAAACTTAGTAGAGTTTATTTTACTAAGGAATATAATTTAATTTTTGAAAAACAGACTTTAGTTCCTGTGTTGTGCCCCAAAATGTCCTCTTTGAGAAAAATTTTACTGAAAATCCATAGTATATATAATGTAAACTATAGATTTCCTGAAAAATTTTCTTCAGAGAGGACGTTTTGGAATGCGACCTTAAAATATAAATAACATATATATAATGGAGAGAAAATTAAAGCAGAATGTCGATATATTTCTCGATTATAAAGTTCTGTAGCAATTTTTATAGTAAAATTCTCTTTATGTATTTGATATCAGAACTTTTTTGCGATTTTCAAGATATTTAAAGTTCCCGAGATCGCTCGGAGCTCTCGAAAACTTTCGGTTTCGCGGGATATTCGATATGAGTCGAATCTTTGTGCGATACGAATTGTTCGAGAACTTTGAAGACGGAATGATTCGATGATTCGTTGCTGAAGAACAAAAACGCGCAGCAAGTAAGCCATTGCCGTAGGCAACGAAGGAGCTGAATTCCGCGATTGGAATCGCGACGCGACGTCGATGATGTTTCTCATCGGTCTTCGTGGTGTCTCGAATCAATCAGAGATCTTTGTAAGAGATCAGAATTTCTACATCCCGGGCGATCTCCTCTGATCTCGGCTGATGTCCGCGAAGAAAAACAAATGACCTGCAACTCGCGATTCTAACGCAATACATCGGCTTATCTTGTTGTGTTTGCGTGCAAATTGTTACGGAACGGAGTTGAATGGTTTCGCAGTGAGTATTGCATAACCAGTGCATGCACGTTCGGCAACGAAGAGGAAGAATAAGATAATGCGGATGAAGACGGCAACGTCGACGATTCCGCGTGCGACTATCACATTCTTTTGATACCTCAAAAATGCATCTCCCAATTTACAATCAATAATACCAGTCAAACTGTTTAAAAAAGAAATTCAACGAATATTTATGGCTCTTTGATATATAAACATAAGATATATGGACCAATAAGAGCCCAAAAAGACAAGTTAAAAGTCGCGTGAACGTTTGATGAAAATCTTGCAAAGTTTGTTCAGATGATGTCTTTTGAACAAATACACAGTTTAAAAATCATTTTTTTATTTGTGTGTCAAAATAGAGTATAAAAATCTTCTAAGTTACTTTTATGTAAGTTCTAAGTTAAAATAATGCAATTTATATATAAATGCACGAATTCTTGACATATTTTACATGTAAAGTGTATAGATAAATTGTGTTGCTTACATATTTTTTGTATTAAATCAACGTAAAAATTAGAGTGGATAAGTTGGGATACGTGAAATGCGTTAAACTTGACACAAAATTTCTTACGGTAATATTTTTCCGAACAGATATGTCTTCGGAACAAATTTTCCAAGATTTTCACTAAGAGTTCATTTCCGCAGTTGTTAACGCTTGGCTCTTACTGGCCTGTTCATCTTACGAACAACAACAATTGTGTCATCCATAAGAGAATTATTTTCGTGAAAGAGCTGAGAACAATGGCTGACTCTCGTGTGATGAATTTTCTTTCACTTTCTCAGCGATTGATTCCAGAATCAATGACCCGATTGTGTACAGGACGCATGCATCACCGCGATGCGAGTAGACCAAACGATAATTTCGACCGTTGACAAAATACGAGACGACCTACGTACCTACGTATATGATGCAACATTCCGCCGCGTCCTATCGACGTCCAGGTCGATCAAAGGCAAAGCAAAAGCGTCAAGAGCAAACGACGAGCGATGGTCGGGCGGCTTTCGCCTGGAAATCGATAACGAGTCGGATCCGCGCGCGCGAACGGACAACACAGTGCGCCGAACTGGCCTGATCAGTGCCGACAGAGAGCCGGAACTTCGCACGCACCATTAAGAAGGTGAGGAGCCCCGCAGAGCGGCGGCAGTGGCTAATGAATATTCGAGTCCCTAATCTGCCATGCAAAGCTCTCCGTCGTCGTGCGCACAGCTGACCCCGCGAACGCTGCGAATCGCGCGACACGCCGCGTTATTATATGATAATGCTGATGGACATCGCGCATTGCGCTTCTCTCTCTCTCTCTCTCTCTCTCTCTCTCTCTCTCTCTCTCTCCCCTTCCTTGTGACGCTATTGACTCTATCTCCGCGATCTCCCGCCACCTATGACCCGGTTATCAAAATGCGCTCACGACATTAGCTGATCGACGACATCGATCGTCTCACATTCTTTCCTTTCCCCCTCCCACTTTATTTGCTTCGTCGCTCCGTTTTTTGCGTCGGTTACCTGCGTCGTTTCCTTTTTGACGTCAATCGTCACGGTGAATAGTCCGGTCTCTGTTGTCGCGACTGGCATACACCGCTGATCGAATTAACGAATTAACGTGGAATCGATCGCCTTGAGCGAATTCTCTGGTCACTTATAAAGAATAGTCGAGCGTGTGATAATGAAGTGTGCGGTTAATGACAGTAATCGTCGATGATTATCGAGCCGTCGGTCATACCGCCTTATTCCGCGATTTACGCGATTGACCTCACGTTATCAATGCACATTCCACACCTGCACTGAGAAAACAAAAGAAAAACGGTGATCTAACTGAAATTACAGTTACCTTTATGCTTAATCGTATTTTCCGGTTGTACTAACACGAAAATGGCAATAGCATATGAGGTCATTAATGTTATTATCAATTATTAGTTATCATTAATGTTATAATGGAATTTAACAAAAAAAAAGAATGGTTTTCTTCATCATAATTTATAGTAATTATTTCTCTGTATTACCATATTACATTTTAAGTGATATTTAATTGATATTTAAGTAATTTGTATTTAACACAACGTATTTTGAATAAATTCTGATAATCTTTTCTTTTTTTCGTATTTCTGTTTCTATATCTATTCTGTTTCTATATCTATTCCATTCTACGTGAAAAATCAGTGCGCCTCATAAGGGATACAAAATACGTCGACAAGTTGCTATCAAATTTACGTACGTTTGTCTATCTATTTGTCTGTGAAGTGTCGAGGCATACGATTTACGAGCAATGAAGAAAAGAGACTTTTCGCTCAATTACCTTTACCGCGATAAAATCTTGATTCGAAGTTTCATTAGACTCGAAAGTCGACGTAACGTCGGAGATTGAAAGGTCACGATGAACGCGCGCGCGCGCAAAGGTCCTCCTGAATATTTTCGTTGCCGGGAAAATATCGGAATCGCTATAAGAAGATTCGTCGCCGAAATTACATTCGCGAGTCGCGGCCGGCCCGTCACGACTACGCGAATTGTCAGATCGCAGTAACGACGTGAAATAAAAGCGAGGACGAAGAGTGAATTTGCGGTTTTCGCCGAGGGATCTGACGTCCTCTTACCGGCAGTATGCGCCGATATCTCTCTCATTTCCCGTTAGCGTTGTTTCGACCACGTGCAAACGTGCGCACATACCACACACTCGCGTACACAACGACGTACGTCATCGTTGTTCTTACCGCGGTGCAGGACATTATTCGCGACCATCCTGACGTCGGCTCACTAATGACACGTAAGTGGAGAGCGGCTCTCTCGCGGCGAGCGCACCTGTACCTTGGACTCGGATTTAACGATAGCGATATCGACGTAACATCGATATTCGTGGAAGAGCAAATATTTCGACGACGCGCACTCTTCTCCGTCTCTTTAATATCGTCGGCGAGAGCTGGAGACGCGAGAAGCCGAGTGTAACGTCTGCAAACCAGTTCGTTAGTTTATATAATTAAATGGGAAGATATTTCTTCGGCATGGTATATGTGTGGATAACAACAAATAAAATAAGATACAAAAATAGAGAGAAAGAAAAACAAAAAAGATTTCATTCAATTCGTTAATTTATATAATTAAATGGGAAGATATTTCCTCGGCATGATATGTATGTGGATAACAACAAATAAAATAAAATACAAAAATAGAGAGGAAGAAAAACAAAAAAGATTTCATTCAATTCGTTAATTTATATAATTAAATGGGAAGATATTTCCTCGGCATGATATGTATGTGGATAATAACAAATAAAATAAAATACAAAAATAGAGAGGAAGAAAAACAAAAAAAAAAAAGATTTCAATTTTGCGTGGAAATTGCGACCTCGCTGATAGGCAATGTACTGAGAAAGAAATATTTGAAAATCGATTCGTGGAATATGAAGTTTATTTTTTAGAGTAAACTTTGTATTTCACACAAATATGTTTTCAAGTATTTTTTTTCTTAATGTACAGTCGGTATTGGGCACTGGGTATACTGGGAACGAGAGAACTTGAAATTTGGTTTGTGGGATTTAAAGTCTATTTCGCAGAAACGATCTTTGCATCTTACTGATGAATTTCCAAATATCTTATTTCAGCGTGGCTGCCTTATCAAACATTCATTACGACGTGTTTTTATGATATTTTTCGCGTACGCTCGAAAAATACAAAACATCTGTAATTATCGCTCAGCGATATTACAACGCGCGCTCGCTGCGTGTGGTCGAAGCGCGTTGATAAAACTTCTATATTAAAAATAAAACAGAGATACGAGAACAGCTTGTATTCACGTGCGCTTCTTTGAACCAGCCGGATAAAGGATGATAATGAATTGATAAAATTCGAGCTCTATCGTTAGTATCTCGTGTGAAGTCTACTTCCTGCGTCGACACAGGATTCAACTTTCTAAGACGGCTGACACGTAACACACACACACACACACACACACACACACACACACACACACACACTCTCTCTCTCTCTCTCTCTCTCTCTCTCTCTCTCTCTCTCCTGCGTACGGAGGAAACGTAGCTTTACATCACAATCGGACGATTATCGGGGAAAGAAAAGGGGCATGCGCATTCGTTGGAGACTTACGGGTGGGTTTCTTTCTGGTTCGGCGGGACGGTCTCTCACCTCGTTCACAATGCACTAAAAGTTACCGAGAATTCATTTCCGCTTTCGTGACGTATCCGCATATCCAAGGAGTATCGATGCACGGCGACTTACGTATCGTGAAGTTATCGATAATCACAGTGAAAATCTCTTTCAAGTGATTTCTGCTGAGTAAATTTTGCTCTCCAAATGAATGTAAATAACGCGTCGTAAAATGATGCGTCATTGAGTTCACGGTACATTCAGGAAAAAAATACACGGTGGTGATAATTAGAGAGGTTTTGCATGTAGAATCAGTGTGTTTAGTTTATTAAACTATTTTGTTGCAACTAAAGCTGAACGTTGTTATGAGAAATACATATAGTTATCTAATTCTTTATATAGCTAACCATTCGAAGCTTTAGTTGCAACAACAAAAATTACACACTAATTCTACATAATCTGAAAAAAAATATTGAAAAAATAAGAAATATTTATTTGATGGATACTAATAATATGTTTGTTTGTACTATATTTACACATGCTTACATTGAAAGAAAATTTCTTTCAATTGAAAAAAGTATGTAAGATAAAAATATCAATTCCTGAAGACGTATCTAATCCTGAATATTCTTATTATTTCTTTAAACATTAATATTTAAAAACTTTCAAAATATAGAAAATATATGTATATACTCAATACTTATATATATATATATATTTTATGTTAAAAATTTAAATATTTGTATTTAAATACTAAAACAAAAACAATGTCCAGAATTAGGTGCATGTCCGGGCATTGATATTTTTATTATTTATTTTATTATTTTATTTCAAATAAACTTATTTTTTCCTGAAGCCACTGATTTTTATGAAAGCAATTTATCTAGTATAAATACAATTATTTATTCTAATTAAACAAGTTAATATTTAGACTTAAATAAATATATTATCATTCTGTATCCACTGAATAAATATAATAAATATTTCTTTTTATTTCCCTAATATTTTTTTTCTCAGATAAGAATTCCATAGAAAACTTGTATTTTTTCACATTTAAGCACTAAGTGCTAAATCAACTTAACGTATTTGCCCTGAGGAATGAGATTTATTTTTAAAGAAACGATTTACTCGGAACGAATGTACCAAGTTAATTTATCAGTTAGTATCCAAAGCGCCCGTTCGTGTCTTCAGCCTTGACAGTTTCTAAAATTTAAAATATAAGACACAAATTGATGACTACGATCAATAACACGACAGTCATTTATTTTGGCTTTTTTATTTGCAATTTGTTGCAATTTGTAATTTACAAATGTGTTTTTTTTCTTTATTCAAGCGCATAAAATTGGGCTTTATAAATTGAATACGAATATATTCCACACGGAAAAAAAATTTAATTGAATTAACCAAATATCTGCTCGAATATGAACGATCCAGAAATTCCAATTGAAGTAACCTGAATTCTGTTTAAATTAACAAGATTTTTGGTTGACTTAAACAGAATTCGGGTTACTTCAATCGGAATTTTTGGATTGTTCATATTCGACCAGATATTTGGTTAATTCAACCAAACCTTTTTTCCCATGCATTTTCCCATTGCGAATAAAACTTCTAAGCATGATCTTTTTCAAGTAAAATTTTTCAGATAATATAAAAGTTTTTTGCAGTTTAAATTTATATCGCGCTTGTCATCTTGTCATCGATATTCTATCATCATCGACCGTTTCATTTAAATTTTTTTTATCTACTCAGAACATGTTCTCAGAACGACGATGAATTCTGCATCTACTTTTTTCCTCTTCATACATGTGCATGATAAAACGTAAAGTGATTCTTTCAACTATCCGCATAAGTACTTATTTTGAATCTCTTTTTTGCATTTGGACGACTTCGTAAGTTCGTAACATTCGGTCGAATCAATTTAAAGGCGAACATTCCGGAAAAGATGTCACATATGGCAATGCAAAAAGGAATGCGAACGCGATTGCACCAATTTGCACAATTGCACAATTTTCTACTTCTCTACACTCAT